TTATCTATTTCAGTTGATGTTGATGATTGCGGGGTTCCTTAATTTTCGAATTGGATCCGGCTTATTATTTTTTGCAGACTGTAAGAGCAATTTTATAAAAGTAAGCTTAAACTTTCGATTATATCAAATAGAATTTCCGATATATATTGTTAATATGTAAAGGATCTAAAAGCAAGGTATTTTGAAATCCGAAATCTGTTTATCAATTTCACACGCTGCTCGGGGGGGGGATCGCTGAAGCGGGCGCGTAATGAATTGGAAGTTGATCTGTCAACACTATCCTTATCTTAGCGCAGATGTTTTTATTTTATTTGGCTTATAATTCCTTACCAAATGTAGTATTTCATCTCGATTTGCTCCGTCTTTGATATGATTTAAAACAAGTTCCTCGCGAAGAAAGTGAAGAGGTTATTGAAAACGAAAAAATTTTGATTGACAAATTAATCGGTTCTAGACACAGCAATTAGGACTTGAACAGCGCGAATTGTAACTGAACAAGAAATTATGTCTGTTTAAGAGAATTAAAGAGAAAGTATATCACATGAAACGAAGCAAACTTAAACAACTTACATGAAAGAAATGTTTAATAAAGTAAACAAATAAATATTAAGCTTTTTCCTTTTTGCAAATTTTGATACCCTTTAGATCATAATTGTTCTTTATTTTCATAAATTACGGTTTTATATTTTTAATTTTAAAATTTTAGAACTCTGCATGCCATCTTACGAGATTTAAACTGATGATCTATAATCCGGAAAAATCGATAATCCGGAATCGCCGAAGTCCCGATGAGTCCGGATTAACGACTTTTGACTGTAATACACAACAGTCATGATCTTCAAGCTGTGCAAAAAAAGTGTTGCCATATGTAGGCAAAACTACTGGGTTGTCTAGAAAGTAATTTTTTTAAGAAAATGAAAGAAGATATTCTGATAATGAATAAATATTTTCTTGAATTATATATTGCCTTTTGCCATCATTGTGGCAGTAGCATGATTCCATGCTCATATTTTTTTTGTTTTTTTGTTGGTGCGGACGATTGGTTCACAGAGGAAGGGACACATTTATAAAAATATAAACCTTATTAAACGTAACATAATGACACATCGACAAGAAAACTGAATGATTGTGCCATTTTGCCACACTGCGAATTAAGATTTTAGTTTCTATTTGTAATTTTTTTTACTGCTAATAGACGACAGCCACTTCTAATATTAAAAATGATACTCTGCTATGGTTTCTAATAATTATTCAGGGTTCTAGATAGCATTACCTGACCATAAGAACAAGTTTGTCTTTTTTTTCTTTTTGCTTTTGAATTCATAGCAAAACATTTCTGCACACAGAAATTAAGTACTTTTACGGACCATTGATGAAAATAATTAAGGACCTATGAGCAAATGTGAGCTGAATAAAATCAATTAAAAATATTATCTATGCCTGAATTTCATTTTATAACCATCCTAAAATCAAACATCCTAAGTAGATGCAGTATACGAACATATTAAAATAGTATAATAAGTTTGAGAATAAAATAAACTTAATCAATTTATCAAGTAGCATTAATATTTACACTATAATAGTGGACTATTTGAAAGAGAAAAGTGGCATTATGTTTACATAACAGTAGCTTTATGTGATTTTTTTTTAATGCCTCATTTTGTCAATACTTATCAGTCTAGAGGTTTAAAATAAAGAGGAGGTTTTTATGTTCTGGGTTAAATGAGAAGTAGATCAATCAGCATGATTCATACAAAACACTGATGTTGTCACCGCTGCTGCTGCCTAGAGAGACCTTTGATAGAACAAACCGAAAGCTGATCTAGGCATGGATGGCAGTGTTGAAAGTTAGTAAGGCTCTGTTGATCAGTTAATGTTGTAGATTCATGTAGAGTTCCAGTGGTTGTAATCCAGTTAATATACTTTAAGTTCCAATAAGCAGGTAAGACAAGGATAGTATTTTGTATGTTTTAAGTCTCATAGACACAAAGATAATTTTACTGAATTTAACATTTTTGTATTTATCTTGGTGACCACGTGAGTGTATGAAAGCAATACTCACTTTAATATATAGAGAAAATTTTAAGGGTAAACAGTTAGTTATCATAATTAAATTAGGTCGTTAATAAACTTAGTCATTTGGATTTACAGGGTCACTAATAAAATTCTATTTTAACAATACTTAAAAAAAGGCCTTAAAATCAAATCTAATAAAATTTCAGTTAAACTACATATATTATGACATTGATTCTAAACTAATATAGATAATTAACATTAAAGCTACAAAACATTTATGTTTTGAACAACAACATCAATAAGATATTTATGCATCTTTTAAGTTAAGCTTCCAACATTTGGCTAATTATATAATTCCTTTCTTTAACAATCTTTCTAACAATTAGAGATTTGTCTCATATGCAACCAATGATCTGCTATTTTCTGCATGCACGAATCCCTCCCTTGTCAACCCTCCACAATGTACCTATGTGGTTTATTATCTGGTAAAGTTAATAGTCCAAAACCCCTGACAGATGTGAATCAAATTATCATTATGGCTGAAAGTAACTACAATATCAGACAAAGATTTAAATAAGCCTCTTATTTAAAAAGAATTTCGAACATAAAGGCATGCTCTGATGCTAACAAAATCAATTACAGCTAACGATGATGTAATTAAACAAGAACAGTCAAATTCAAAGTAAAAATGCTGACTAGTCACATTTCACTAGTTTTGTCACATATTTCTCAAATCTTCTAGAACCATGGGGCTATAAATCTTGCCTTCAAATCCTCCTAAACCTTCCAAGCTGCAATATCTAAAATCCTAAAGAATTTCATGAAGAAAACTGATCCACATTCTGAGAATTTTGAATATTCTGAGACAATTACATAGGAAAAACTCTTAGTAAGACAAAATTAAAAAGAAGATATTTTTAATTAAATACATAGCTATTTTTCTTTGCTAGAGCTGTTTGTAAATTGTGCTTAACATTATATCTGTTATTTTCGATTCAAAATATTTATAATAAGTTGCAAAAATAACTTAACAATAGGACAGCGAAAAATAAAATGTTTTTATTTAAATTTTTTAAATAATTTCAATATACTAACCAGTATTTAATGAAATTTATCAATCTTATGAAGTTTTAAAAAATCGCGAAAAATTCTAGATCTTGAATGAAAAATTTCTATAGAACTGATCTTAAATCGCCAAAATGTGATAAGTCGCCAGATTTAACCTTTAATAAAAGAGTGCATCCCCAAAGCGAAAAGTTTTTTAAGAGCTCTCATACAAAAAATGAAATAATTTTGAAATGCTTATGTTTACTCTTGCTTGAACTCGAGTATCCCATCATTTATATTAGAAATAGAAACAAATTATAACCCATAAATCCATTCAAAAGATAACCATATATGTTGATGAATCACCAAAAATATTCCTCCAAAATGCTAATTCACACTGAAAATGGCAGCCGTAAAAACAGACAAAAATTTCAGATGATTAAAATTAAGGACCTTCTGCTGAGTTTGGCTGAAATTAAGGACTTAAAGGACCAAAAATTGATTCCAAAAAAATCCAAGAACTTTTAAGGACTCTTAAGAACAATACAAGCCCTGTTATTTTAAAACTGAAAATTCAAGTGCTGTTTCCATAGTAACACAGCATTTTATTTTATTTGGTTGTTTCATTTCCATAGCAACACCACACAGGTAAAAAAACTGATCCAGGTAACTTTTGGCCTTCTCATTTGAAGTAAAGGTTTTAATGTCTAAAATATTTTGTAGAGACTAGAAAAAATAATAATCAGAAGTTGCCAGATCTGGAGAATATGGTGGGTGTGGCAGTATATCTCTTCCAAGCTATAAAAGCTAGAAGCAAGTTACCATACTTCTATGAGGTCTCGCATTATTTTGATTATCTACACCTTTTCTACTGATCAATTTTGGCCTTTTCTGTTAAAGTGAATCATTCAATTTTCCAAATGATAACAGTACACTTTAAAATTGATTTTTGTGTTGCCTGGTAGAAGCTTACAAAAACTGAAATCCCATCAAACTGATAGCATCACCTTTATTTACTTATTTATTTATTTTGAATGTTGGCTTTCAAAGTGCTTCGAGCTTCCATGATCTCTTGCATTTAACATTATTGTAAACAACCCATTTTACATTCCCAGTAATGATGCACTTCAAAAATTTATCATTTTATTGATGTCTGAGAAACAAATCACAAGTGTCAATGTGACGGCACAAATTTCTTTCCATAAGAACATGAGGAAGACATGACGAGCTCTGAGATTAAACTTAGGCATATCAAATGATCATGGACAGTCGAATTAAATAAATTTAATCTCTTGGCTACCTCACAAGTTTTTATTCACCGGTTTGCATCAATTAATGCCTTTATTGTGTCTTCATCAGCTTTAACTGGGCTTCCAGAACATGGTGTATCTTCAAAGTCAAAATTGCCAGACTGACAATTTTGCGAATGAGTTTTTTACATAACAAACATAATAATTTGTCATTAAATCATATGACAAAAGAATTCACACACAGCATTTAGATTCTGAGATTCAAAGTTTTCTTTCTTATGTGGTCTTGAAAATGACATGGCAATAATGGTAAAAAATAAAATGAAAATAATAAAATATGACATATTGCCATGACAGACAATAAATACCACATGCACTTCTAAAGCAAAACTGAGAGATATGACAACACTCGTTCTACAATAATGGACAACAAAATACAAGTATGCAATTCCAAGAGCAACACATGTAGTCATCATTCACAACTTCTCAACTATCAGCTATAGTGCTACAGCACATAATTTGATTATTTTTTCATGTCAAAAGCAATAATGAACTCTTGGGACAGATTCAAAACAGATGGCGACAGGCCATATTTTGCTGACTATTGCTATACAATACAAATTATGTTAAAAAAATACAGTTAATATAACTGACATAGTGCTTAAAAAACATTTAAATTTGACTTACCAGCTATAACAGCAGATAATAAAAGTGATCCAGGTCCATTGTGCCCATCTGCATCAGCAAACTTTAGTTTTGTATGAGCATAAACAGGAAAATAAATTGCTGAAAATGGTATGTCACGAAGAAAACATGCTCTAGCACCCTGGAATGGAAGTATATATTTCAAACACTCATAGTACATAAAATATTCAAGAAAAATTTTAATAACAACTGATTTAAGGATGATACAAAATAAACTTCAGTAAAAAACAGAATTTCATTCCCCCCCCCAAAAAAAACTTATGACAGTTTAGAACATTCCTTAAATGTGATTTCTTTCTACTTGTTTGCATGTAAATAATAAAAACATAACCATATTAGAATATTTATGATAAAAATAGCAATTTAACAAATTCCGACATTAGGAAAATGTTGCGGAATGAAAAACAGTACTGATAACAGAACATACATATACCTTCCCACTTAAACCCTTCCATTTTATTATTTATTTATTTAAAGCACATATATAAATACTTACATGTAATATGCACTCTATTTAGAAAAATTTACACTGGTAAGATAAAACTCAAAACATCTGCACACGATGAAATAACATTGCCAATCTGCAAGGTAAAGATATATGTTACAAGGAGATTTTCTGATCACTTGTCCTATTTCAATTTTTATTTCTCTGTGCAAACTTTTGCTTTATACTGGTATGCTTATAGATGTTATGGGGAAATTCTGGAGGCAACATTGCCATTTATGACCTTTTAAAGAATGACTAAACGTCAAGGGATTAATGACAATTTCAAGCAGGCTGAAACAAATGCTGTGCTTGCAAAGTGCATTTCCAGTGCAAATCTTACCATCACTGCTCAGAAATTTGACAACAAAATATATTTCAATATCCCATTTTCTGTAAAAGACATTATTACTTACTGACTATAAGTCTGTTCTAAGAACACATGTTGATTAATGCAAAGGTACATATGCAGTCATTTTGACTGTGCCTGCATTTTCAATCACTTTTTACCTATCTTACTATTTAAAAAAACATTATAAGAAAATAAAAATTAAAAAACATTTAAATCAACAAATAAAGATTATTAAACATGACTGATAATAAAAGTAATACAATTTTGAATCTTCTTGCAGAAAACTTGTTGTTACCGAACACTGACATACTATGTGCTGGTGTAATGTAAAGTTCACAAAACTCTCTCAGTTTCCCTGCTTATACTCACACACATTCTTCAGCAGTCTGTACATACTCTTCTTTGACACTGTCCACATATTTGAAGATTTCACTTGACGTATTTGTGATATGTTTTTCTACAACTTCCTTTCCTGGTAGGCACTTCTCACATGCTTTCCTTTTCTTGAGTTGATCATCAGGCA